ACACCTCAACCGACTTGACATATCTACAGATCTCAAAACCAATTTCAGATAGGTTCGAGAACCAATTCAGACCAAATCCAGTTCAACAACTCAACAAAGAACAACATATTTCAAGTTAATGTCTTCAAGCCAGATTTCAATTCCACGACGGAAGATATTCAGCTGACAGAATTCATCAGTGGGCTTTCCCGTAAAAGGGGAGTCATTCAAAGATCGTCTCATTTGGTTCAGACTCGCTCAGAGGAACCACCTGAAGAACTACGACCGGCTTAGACCTGTGAAGAGAAGCCATTTTTTTAAGACAACATTTGCAATATAGCTCAAGACAAGAAGGGCTATTTGCCAACCAAAGACCTTCAAGTTCGACTACGCTCAGCTCCAAGACACATCATTTGCAACATAGCTTAAGTCGAGAAGAGCTATCTACCAAAGACCCCCGAGTTCGATTACACTCAGGTTCGAGGGCATATCATTCACAGCATAACTCAAGTCTAGAAGGGTTATCTGTCACCAAAGACCTTCGAGTTCGACTACGCTTAGCTCCAAGGCATATCATTTACAGCACAACTTAAGTCTAGAAGGGTTGTCTGCCAACAAAAGACCTCTGAGTTCGATTACGCTCAGCTCAACGACACATCATTTGCAGCATAGCTTAAGTCGAGAAGAGCTATCTGCCAAAGACCCCTGAGTTCGATTACACTCAACTTCGAGGGCATATCATTCACAGTATAACTCAAGTCTAGAAGGGTTATCTGTCACCAAAGACCTTCGAGTTCGACTACGCTCAGCTCCAAGGCATATCATTTGCAGTACAACTTAAGTCTAGAAGGGTTGTCTTCCAACAAAAGACCTTTGAGTTTGACTACGCTCAGCTCAACGGCACATCATTTGCAGCATAGCTTAAGTCGAGAAGGGCTATCTGCCAAAGACCCCCGAGTTCGATTACACTCAGCTTCGAGGGCATATCATTTACAGCATAACTCAAGGCTAGGAGGGTTATCTGTCACCAAAGACCTTCGAGTTCGACTACGCTCAGCTCCAAGGCACATCATTTACAACATAGCCCAAAGCAAGAAGCGCTATGTGTCAATAAAATTATCGAGTTCGATTCCATTCAGCTCGATCACACATCATTCACTACTGTCCCGCTACAATCGAGGCTTTCAAGTCGAGAAGAAGACCTGGGTTAGTCATGCCTTAGTGACAAGCAACCATTTTCAAGCAGCATAGCTTAAGTCAAGAAAAGCTATATGTCAACGAAGATTTCTGAGTTCGATTTCGATCCAAGGTCTTTAAACCGAGAAGAAGACCGAAGTGGACTACAAAAGCTACATTCCGATTCAAATTCTGAACAATGACTATCATTTCAAGATGGGCTCGACTTCACGACGGAGGAGCCATCTGCAACTCAATTCAACAGGGAGTTATTCTTAATTGAAATATTAGTAACTATTTTTCAACTCCACCGAACGAAAATTTGTGTCTTTTTATCTTTATCCTATTTTTCGTTCCACGAAAAATGACAAAGAGGGGCAGCTGTAGACACTAAATTTCGTCTCATTATAATATTTAATATAAAGCATATTATATATTATGTGTTATATTATTTATTTATTGTTTTATTACATATTTCAGGCCTAAAAAATAGGTTGCCCAGAACACGTACAAACACACACGCGGCCCAGTGCAGCAGCCAGTCTCAACCCGCTTCCAGAACACATGAACCCGTTGGAGCTTGCGAACCCATCAGCTCGATCCGGTTTGAAAGGTTTTAACTTCTCTCATCTCAGCGTTGCATGGTCAACAACCCGCTCCCACTGCTGCATGTCTCGCCCCAACAACCCACATCGTCCGGTGCAGAGATCTCGGTCATCACCAACCAACAAACAAATCAGTGTTTTAGTTCGTATATAACTCTAAAAATAGCCAATAATTTTGGCTATAAAATCATGTACATGGAACAAAGGAGGGGGGTAACTCAAAGCAAAACAAATCAATAAATTTTTTGTAGGGAACATTTCCCTATTTTCTTCATGTTTTTTGGTTGTTTTCATTTATCATTCGAATGAACCAGCAAAAATGTGATTCATATCATCCCTGTGAGAGAGCGTGAGTGTGAAGAAAATAATAGAACATAAGAGGAGAAAAGGGACCATACCTCTGATCGGCGACTTTACCAATGGTTGGGAACATTTTTGGATGATGAGCGGCGGACTGGGACCGACAACGATCATCAAGGCAACTCCATCGCCGACCTTTGAGAATCGGAGTAGGGGAGTGTAAACGCACTATCTTTCATGATTTGAAGAGAAGAAATGGACCAAAATTGGTTTCCATATGATTAAACGTGGGTGCCAGGCAATTCCAGGGTGTAACCTACCAATTTTGAACAAGTTTTGCATAATCATCCTCTCACTCCTCCAATTTTATTTGATTTGAATCAATCCATACCTTTTATGTTTCATGTTTCTTTAATATTAAACTAACCCTTAAAACTTTGTTTTTTTAAATGAATTACACACGTGGAGATGTGCAGCCATTTATGGCCATGCATTTGAGTATTTATTAAGTGTACAATATGTTACACTTTTTTAACATTTTTTCTCACAATTTATTTATTTTTCTCTTCAATTTATTCAATATTTATTTCTTTTTTATCTAACATTTTTTTACCTTATTTAGGACAATTTTAACTAATTAAATGTAAATGATTTGAATCGAGATTTTAAATTTCAATTTTCGCAATCAAGACAACTGAAAAATTAATTGGTACCGAAAGATCGGTTCAAGGGTGCTAATCCTTCCTTGACCGTAACCGACTCCCGAACCCAACGTATTTCTGGTAAAATGCAGATCAGGTAAGAAGGTGTCCGACCCACCTAAATTCGTTTTAAAGTGGTCGGTGGCGACTCCTAACCCAATTATTTCAAGTCGAAGCCCAATTCCGAGGTCCATCTCCGACACCATCATTGTTGTTTTTAGGAATTAAAATCTGAGCAAGTTGACGAGGAGGAACCTTATGGATGCCCATCAAGCTTTTCTCAATAGCCATTCTAAAGAACCTGTTTGTTCTACGTTTTGCAATAAAACTATGCAGCCTTTCGTTTCTTTCTAACCCAAGATCCATACGATTCCACTGAACATCCCGTGTAGCCTTTTTCCCGGCTCCATCGGATTCTTCCGAGCTTTTTGATGCTAGCTTACCATCACCAGGACCTGTTCCTAACGACCCTTTAAAGCTATCATCCGACACCCTAAGCGGTTTCGATGTCTCGCTATCGAAGACCGTATTCGGAACATCAAGTGCTCGATCAGTTCCAGTTTCATTAGTTTTACCAGACAGACTATCATGCGTACATCTCACAACAAGCGCCCTTTTTCTCACTACGTTTTCCATCCCATTCTACGACCACTTTTCGAGCATTTTGTAGAACACTTTTCTGGGGTCGTAATGAAGGCTCATTTGATGCATTTACAAGTTTTCCATCTGCAGATAATCTTTCACCACTTTCGTTTTTCTTTATCCTTTGAGATTTAGGATATTTGGCTTTCAAATGAAACCGGATATAAATGGCAGAGCAGATAAGAATAGGGGAAGAGTACGTGAAATAGGAGAAAACATAGGGGGAAAATATGAACAAAAATAGAACAAATATGAAAAACCCTGAAACATCTGGAAATCTTCTTACAAATTTATAGCAACAACTTCCAGAAAATCTAACAATTCTCCAGAGGAAAAGTTGAATGCCCTTTGCAGTCATACTCCTTTAAAAAAAAAAATTAACCTTCAGAAACAACCAAACTGGGTCCTTATAATCCATTATGCCGACTCCATGTCAAGGAAATGACCAAAGAATTCAACTTCAAACATAACGAAAATCAAATTCTTTTTTCATAAAAAGAGCAGAAACATGTAAAACAGAGGTCATGTGATAACGGGGTTTCCAATATTTTTTAGAAAAATTCTTTTTGGTGGATAGCTTACGGTTAGATCCTTCAAATTAGGGCTATTATCTGCCATTTCTTTCTCTCTTGCTTCCCTTGATTCATGGGAACAAAATAGATAACAGGTAAATGAAGAAGCGACAGTTAACATTGCAAGTCTGTTTTAGTAACACGACCCTCGAATTTCAACAATGATGCATCACCGAAAACAGACTCGCTAGGCAAAATTGGTTAAATTGAATCATGGGATTTGTTAATTTGTTCTTGCGGAATTAGGTTTTTATGGAGAATACTCAAAACAGTGAGCAACAGAGATATAGTCCAATCTATTTTCAATGTCCTAACTTATTATAAAACAAATGACACTTAATATATTGTTTCTTTTGAACTCAACCTTTTAAAGTTTTATTATGATAAATTTATATCTGTCTCTAAAATTATTGTCAATATTATGATATTTTTCAATTTTCTGACTTGTTAAAAAATATTTGTATAAATTATTTAATTTTATTAAAATTTTGGGTAAATTATAAAAATATTATGTCGATTATAAGATATAATTTTATTGAGTTCTCAACTATTAAAAGTTACAAAATGATCATTTAACTATATGATGGAAGGATCAATATCCCACCCGACCCGTTTATATTCCTAAAAACCCATGTACGACAATCTCATAATTTGGACATGGATAGAGGAAGATATAACAGCCCAAATAAAAGCCTGAAATATCCCAAGGTAAGGCCCTAACTTAGCCAAGCGTGTGTGGTTACCAATCAGCACTAGACATGCGGTCTCCGATCAATCTTGGTCACAGTCTAACCCACTCACTCCACGTGTTAAGTTCCACAAAACCCTATGTAATCTCTAAACACGAAATCTTTACCCCTTTCTTCTTGATAATCTCAACAGTCAACACTGAAACGAGACGGTTTTGCCTTTTAATCCAACGGCTCAGATTCTCCCAAGTATTCTCTTTCGCAATTGCTCTGTTTTAGTTTCTATCTCTACGAATTTCTGCAGATAAAAACGAGACTAAATCGATATAAGGAACATATAAATTAGCCACTTATTAATATTTTTTTTTTTTGAAAATTTCTAGGGTTCCCGCAATGTCATCGATTGAATTTATAAGACCGACGACGATAACAATCCACTGGAAATTCAGCACAAATTCTTACTCTAATCTTCTTTACCTGCATGGATTAAACTTCAAAACCAATCGGTTTAGGGTTTTGCAACAAAAACCGAACCGCTTCTTCTCCAATACCATCACTTCCACCCTAAAGAACGCCGCCGTTGTGGGAAGCCGCGAGAAGTTAAATCTTTACGGAAGAGGTAAATTAAGGTTCAAAGAGAGCAAAATTTTGGTTAATTGTACAGATAACAACGATTCGAAGTCAAGTTCCGGCGAGACAAATGAAAGCGAAGGTGGGCAGGGAGTGAGGCAGAAACAGAATCCGACAAACTCGGGCGGTTCGACCAACCAGAGAAGAGAAAAGAGCGGAAGAACCGGGCTTTGGTGGTCCAAAGGGAAGAAATGGCAGTGGCAACCGATAGTTCAAGCTCAAGAAATTGGCGTTTTGCTTTTACAGTTGGGTATTGTCATGTTGGTTATGCGATTGCTCCGCCCCGGGATTCCTTTGCCTGGGTCCGAGCCTAGGACTCCAACGACCTTTGTCAGTGTTCCTTACAGTGAGTTTTTGAATAAGATTAGCGCCAATCAAGTCCAAAAGGTGGAGGTTGATGGGGTTCATATAATGTTCAAATTGAAGAATGAAGTGAGTGTTCAAGAGAGTGATATTGGTAAGTCCCAAGAGTCGGAGTCTTTGTTGAGGAGTGTGGCGCCTACGAGGAGAATTGTATATACAACAACTCGGCCCAGTGATATTAAAACTCCATATGAGAAGATGCTGGAAAATGATGTGGAGTTTGGTTCTCCTGATAAGCGGTCTGGCGGCGTCTTGAACTCTGCATGGGTAAGTTGTGGTGTAATTTTGTACGTTGATATGATATGAGTGAAACTAGTTTAATTCCTTTTTTGAAGGCTTTTTTTAGTTCTTAAATGAGTTACTGGTAACTTGTTTGGATTGTCTTGGTTATGTTGGTGTAGTAGTTTTTTGCGGTAAGCTGCCTGCTCGTAGTATGTAACTTAGAATATGAGAATATTTTCTCTTGCTTTCTTTGGATTAGGAATCTTAAAGAATGATCCGATGGGCCCTCTGTTATTGGGGAATGCATTTCCTTTTGAAGTGACATGATGTCAGGAATTTAAAGGTTGTAGTTGGTGGGACTGAGATTGGTTACAATTTGGGATAATAATATCTTCAGTTACTTCCATTCACTTGGTTCTTTTTATGTCATGTTTTCGTCATATTTGGTGGGATTTTATCTATTTGACTTACTCTCTGTTGCAGATAGCTTTGTTCTATGTTGCTGTTCTTGCTGGACTTCTACATCGATTCCCTGTGAATTTTTCTCAGGTTTGGATTTGCTTGTATGTTCTTTGAGTACTAAAATGTCTATTTCACAAGAAATTATTTTATGGAACCGTCCCACCATGTCATCCATGGTTGCTACCAATGAAAACCATCCACTCCACCCTTTTTTCACATGTCATCAATCCACTTATATTTAACTTCCAAGTAACCACCCATAACAATGTTGAAATGGAGAAAAAAGTGAAGATTCATCCTTGAAAAAAATGATGACATGAAGGAAAAAGGGTGAATTTGGTGGTTTCCATTGTCAGGACCATGGATGACATGCTGGGAAGGATTCATAAAATATTTTTTCGTATGGCATTTATGCGTTCTGATCTGAATCATGCACGTATGCAGCGTACAGCTGGTCAAATTAGGAATCACAAGTATAGAGGTTCTGGCGGTTCAAAAGTTTCTGAACAAGGTGAAACAATAACTTTTGCTGATGTGGCTGGTATTGATGAGGCCAAGGAGGAGCTTGAAGAAATTGTGGTATGTTAAATATTTGTCTACTTAATTTGCTTCCTGCAATTGATATTTGGTGAATGCTTCCCAAATTCTAGTATTGTCTTTATATGTTTATGTTTACTGCCCAGGAATTTCTTAGGAATCCAGACAGGTATATACGGCTTGGTGCTCGCCCTCCCCGAGGAGTTTTGCTGGTGAGTTGATAAACATTGTGGCTTTTCTGAGAAATATTAGTTGAAACTTCATGTCATGCTGTTGAAAAAGCTTTGGGTCTAAGAAGCTACTGGCTATGTGAAAACTTTCATTAATATCTGAAAATTGTTGCATTGCGAATTCCGTCTCTTGCTCTTAGTATCTTTCACCGAAAGCTTTTGGTCCTCTAAAGCTTTCTACTTGTCATTGTTGTCAAGGTAAGTTCACAAGGTTTTCAGATGGAATTCAATGTGCGCAATGTTTCCACGCAGTGCTTAGATGCTAGTATTATATGATGGTTTCCTTGCATCATTAGCTCATTTCTAAAATTGAAATATAGTTGTTATTTATGGTTGTATTTGTGATGCAGGTGGGTCTTCCTGGGACAGGTAAGACTCTTCTAGCAAAAGCTGTGGCTGGTGAAGCAGAAGTTCCATTCATAAGTTGTTCTGCAAGTGAGTTTGTAGAGTTGTATGTTGGTATGGGTGCATCTCGAGTTAGAGATCTCTTTGCACGAGCTAAGAAGGAGGCACCATCAATAATATTTATTGACGAGGTCAGAGTATGGTTTTATTATTTTTGATGGAACAGTCTGTTTAACTTCTTGATTTTCTGTAATTTTCTGACTCCTTGCACACAGATAGATGCTGTGGCTAAAAGTCGCGATGGTAAATTTCGCATTGTTAGCAATGATGAACGGGAACAAACTTTGAACCAATTACTTACTGTAACTTCCCCTCCATCATAGTTTTTCTTCTCATTTGGACCTCGTGAACGTTCCCCTTTGAAACTATTATTTTGGAACTACATTGCAGGAGATGGATGGATTTGACAGCAATTCCGCTGTGATTGTTCTTGGAGCTACCAACCGTTCTGATGTCTTGGATCCTGCCCTTCGTCGACCAGGGAGATTTGATCGTGTTGTTATGGTTTGTATGATGCACTATGTTTGAATTAACTCGCTGAATGTTGGAATTTGCCATATCAACCAGTCCTTGCTCAACTCGTATCGCATGGATGTTATGTCTGGTATGTTTTCCAGGTTGAGGCTCCTGACAGGGTTGGAAGAGAAGCTATTATAAAAGTGCATATTTCTAAGAAGGAACTTCCCCTTGGAGAGGATGTTGATCTTGGTGACATTGCCTCTATGACTACTGGTTTTACTGGGTATTTCTTTTTTACTTTGTCATATTTAAATACCACTGCTTCTCAATCTCCCCCTTCAGCCTCTTTCTTCTCAAATACTTACTTCTTGATGAAGTGGGAATAACTATATGATCTTTTTAATTTTGCAGGGCTGACCTTGCAAATCTGGTAAATGAAGCAGCCTTGCTCGCCGGAAGAAATAATAAAGTTGTTGTAGAGAGAATTGATTTCATTCAGGCAGTAGAACGATCAATAGCTGTAACTCTCCCTCTCATCTGAGCATGATTTTGTTTGTGTATTTCTTACAATTTTCTTGTTGCGATTTGTGATGCTTCATTTTACATCCATTCTGTTCAACTGTTTCCTTCATCATGGTGTTTGAAGAGTTTACATCACATTTTTCCTTGTCTTGAAAGTTAAGTTTTAATGCGGGGAAAATGTGGACAAAAAAATTTATATTTCATAGAGAAGAAAACTGCCAAAATGAAATTGAGTGACAAAGATTTATATTTCATAGGGCATAGAGAAGAAAACTGCCAAATTGAAGGGAAGTGAGAAGGCTGTGGTTGCAAGGCATGAAGCTGGCCATGCAGTAGTAGGTACAGCTGTTGCCAACCTTCTTGGTGGACAGCCACGTGTTGAGGTAAACTATGCCATAATTAACTTAATGTTCTCATTTTCCCCTTTATTATATCTTAGTCTGAAATTTGGAAATGATAAAGAAAATATGAAATTTGAATGGAATCTGAAGTTCTGAACCTTTGGCCATGTAGCATATGGTTTAGGGACTGCATTAACTATTTCTGTCATGTGCTAGAGATGGTCACAGGTCAATCATTTCTGTTGGGTCATTATTTAGCAGATTATAGGCTTGTTAGTTTTTGCTCTTCCTAATCATGTGTTTCTCTTTTGTTACTTGGGAATTGGAAAGGTCTGGCAATACCTTGAGTAAAAAGGCTGACCAACTTTTCTCCAGGATGGATCAACTTTGACCTCTATTTATGGATTTCAAAACTGGAATGTCTAGCATTTGGTGCCTTGAGTTCAATTTCAGTTAAGAAAGTTGAAACATGTTAAAAAACCAGGTTCCTTCTTCCTACCCAACTGTTTTTTACAGGGTGGGAAATTGTAGTGTTTGTACTTAACACCAACCTCAGAAACAGTCGTATACTATCTTCAAATCTTCATGCAACATTTTGAAAATTAAAAACTGAAACTTGAGAATTAGGTTTCTTTACATTTTACATCAATTTCCATTCTTTTTGGGTACATGTGGAAGTCCACATGGCCCTGGGTTACACAAAGAATTCAGAATTATAAGGTTCAACTTATGAAGGTTGGGTTTTTCAATAGAGACACAATGTCTTACAATGGACATAAATCATCCCAGCTGCTTTTGTTCTCATTAAATGTGTGATACCAGTCAACTCTGTGTTTGCAGAAACTGAGTATACTGCCAAGATCTGGAGGAGCATTGGGTTATACTTATATTCCTCCTACCGATGAGGATAGATATTTACTCTTCATTGACGAGTTACGTGGTCGTTTGGTTACACTTCTTGGTGGACGCGCTGCAGAGGAAGTTGTCTATTCAGGTCGTGTTTCAACCGGTGCACTTGATGATATTAGGCGGGCAACTGACATTGCATATAAGGCAGTAGCTGAATATGGTCTTAATCAGACTATAGGCCCTCTCTCTTTAGCTACACTATCTGGTGGAGGCATGGATGAATCTGGGGGTGCAGTTCCTTGGGGAAGAGATCAGGTCAGTTTTTACTCTTTCATAAAAGTTTATTTAATTGTTTCTGTTTCCAATTCCTACACTATCTGTAATGAAGACTGACCCAGAATGGAACGTACAGGGACAATTAGTTGATCTTGTCCAAAGAGAGGTGAAAGCATTATTACAGTCTGCCCATGAAGTAGCCCTTTCTGTTGTACGTGCTAATCCAACCGTTTTGGAAGGGCTTGGTGCCCACCTGGAAGGTAATATGTTGTGACTTACCTGTTTTGTATGTCAAAATTCCTGACCTTCCTAATTGGTTTTTCATTTTTTTTGCTATAAGTTCTTGTTCTTGTAAGAACGTTGACGAATTTTTCTGAGCAGAAAATTTTATTGAGACTTTTAAGGGATGTAACAGGTGATGATTGCCAATTTTTATTAGGTTAAGGCATCCTACCATTGGTCATATTACCTTTCCTGATATTGTGTTCCTGTTTATGGAATAAATTGCAGAAAAGTTCAACTTTTACCTTTTGAAAAAGGAAACTTGTCCGATTCCGGTGTTAACCAACCTTGTCTTTCTGTATGATGAATATGTATTGCTATTTCTACAATGTTTTCTGCCGAATTATCTTAGTACAATGGGGTTCATTTCCTCTTTTTGTAACATCCACGCCCTTTAAATAGTTTGAATCTAGTTTTCAGGTTGATACTTTGCATCTTTAAAAAAGGGAAAGGGAAAAAAATTCTTACCTTCATGTTGTGGTCTAATGAATGCTTTGCTTTATTCAGAAAATGAGAAAGTAGAAGGTGAAGAACTACAAGAATGGTTGAATTTGGTTGTTGCACCAAAGGAACTAGTCAACTTTGTTGAAGGCAAGCAAGAGTCTCTCCTGCCGGTTCAAGCGGTCTCTGGATAAGTGGTTTTTCACTCATCGCTCAACATTGAGCATTTGCATCGAGTCAACTATAGTTTTCTTCACCATCTTGACAGGCTGACCTTGTTGATGAGCATGCCGTGGCTACTACCGGCATCAAAGCTCCCTTGTACATTTTTGCATATTTCAGCAAGGTGAGTCTTGGCTTTATTTTTAACACTACCAAGTATTTTCATTGCTTTATTCTCACTACACTTACCAGAGGAAACATAGAGAAGTGGTGGAGGTGGAGGTGAAGATTTATTTCGTTAAAAGCCTTCAAACTTGTCTCACTGTTCTTGACTTTATGTCGACAAGTTTGGGTTGGTCTCCAACACCTGTTCTGTTGTACATTGACTGTTATTTCCGTTAAAAAAAGTCCAAAACTGGTGGAATTTATAACAGTAATTAAGTTGTACACAATTATTCTGGGAAATATATATAGGTTATTGCACATAAACATGTTGGGTTAAAAATTGCTCGTCTTCAGAAGAACAATGTTCTTTAATCTGCTACATAGACAATATATGCTTGTTAATAATAATAGCCTATCAAGATTGAGCCTAGAAGCATTGTTTTGGAGCATTGAATGAGGGTTTTTTTTCCAATTCAAATATAATTCTTCGTGTTGGGTGATTCCTCCTGAGGGTTTCGTTAAAATTAATGTTGATGGTGCGATGGTGAGGGGCTGGGGTAAAGGAGGTATAGGTGGACTGATTAGGGATGGCAGAGGTATGTTGATAAAATCGTTTTCAGAAAAGGTTGGAGGAGGTCCTCCTTTAATGGCAGAACTATTGGCGATTAAGAGAGGTCTCATTCTTATTGAAGAATTAGGATCTGCCCCAACTCAGAGGGTTATTTTAGAATCGGATTCGACTACAACATTGAAGTGGATTAAAAATCTGGACTTAAGACCCTTATGTTTCAGTCCTTGGTGAAGGACATAGCTACTCGTCTGGAAGGACAAGATATCATTTGAAGGCATGTTCTGAGAGTTTCTAATTGGGAAACATATAAGTTAGCTAAAGATGGTATAGGTTGATTTGTAGGTTATGTTTGGGTATGTTAACATGTACGGAAATGTTTGTTTTCTGTAGGGGGTTTGTTTTCAATCTTATGTATCAGTGTTATGTTGTATGAGTAGGTTATGGTTTGGGCTGTGTATTATTGTTTTGATTAATAAAGTTCAAGGGCATTTTTTTCCTCCTTCCTATGCCTTTCATGTTACTGTTGCAACATGAAAGGTATGAAGGGTTTTTTTAATAAGGTCTAATCTTCTATCAAAAAAAAATATACCCTATATTCATACACCTATTCAAGATTATTTATCTGTCCAGCTCCCTTTTTAGGTCCCCACTGCTCTGAGCTCAATATGTCCGTTGCCCCTTTTTTGTACATAACTTTTGGACAGATAGAAGAAAACTTCTTCTACTTTTACATATGTTGATTGTGATTTTGATTTTTTGAGGCACAAAACAGAACCCACTATTATATATCAACGGGGAGAGTGCAAGTACAGTTGTATTTTCCTTTTGCATTTTACAAAGTGTCATCTTTTGCCATGCCTAATCTGTGCTAAATATTGTTTTAAACTTTAAGCCTTAATGCACAGGTTAAGAAATTCTGAGCCCGTGTGCTTTTAATAATTTTTTATATGATATAATATATTGTGAAAAATTAATTATAATACCATTATGGCATGAATATATAGGATATAATTATTATGTTGGAATCAACTATCTTTTCCAAAAAGAAAACGAGGAGATTGTCTAACTCGGACCAAGCAGTGATTTTATCCAAAGAAATTATCTCACTCGACAATTTAAAATCATTGGTGCACCTATGAAGCTTAAGCTATTTCTTTTGTTAACATCAAGACTCTTTTATATGTAAAACGTCAAATTACATCAGTGTTACTTGGTACTCTCTTAGTAAGATTGATCTCTAAATCACATCCTAATGCACGTGTTGAAGATATATATAAAAAAAATTCAATGATAGTATTCTATCATATCATTTTTTTATATCCAAAATTTATCAAATCACTTGAAGAATGATCGATTCTCCCTTATAATGATATTAATTGTAATTAATTATTATTTTTAAATCGGATTTTAACTATTATGACATGAAAATTTTATAAATAATATATGAATTATACGAGTCGATCATTTTGTGACAACTTGTACCTTTTATTTTGTTTTAGTTTGGACGAATCCAATTGATGGAAAATACAAACCTCCAAAACCTCTGGGTGTCCGGCTTGTACTTATGGCTTGGCCTTAATCATTTTCCTCTTGCCAACTCTTTTTGAACAAATTGTTGATGATTTGATATGGGTTAGTTTTATAGCCCCTCCTGTGTGTGCATAAGAAATTCAGGTCCCTCCAAATATTTCACACAGTCATACCATTTGGTCTTCCATTTGTAGCTTTCTTGAGTGAGGGCTTCCTTTTCAAATCAAAACCACTCATTCTTGCATTCCCTTTTCTCAGCTCAGCTATTTATGCAGATCACTCTTCCCTCCCATCAAAGAAGATGTTGAGCAACAAGGCCAATGGCTCTGCCGTGGAGAAACCTAATTCCTGGAATTGTGGCTTCTTGAGACGTGAATTTTCGTCGGTAAGGTTTCTCAAGAATTTTGGTCGCAATGTAGCAGAGGGTATAATCAGATTTTTTGGGCTTTCTCCTCCTAAGCTTACCTCCTCTTCTTCAAACCCATTTGTGACTCATGTTGTTGATTCTCATAGAAACGCTGCCGTTGAGGAGTGCATCCGCTTTATCAATTCCTCTGCTTCTTTGCCTACATCCAATTCTGTTTCTGGCCCTACTTAAATCCTATTCTCTGTCTACAAAATATAAATGTACCCCGAAGCCATGTTCAAATAGGTCATATTTTAGTGGTAAGATATAGTTTGATGAAATTATTAAGCATCACCCGAGTAGGTTATGTGTATCTTCTTTTTCCCTTTGAAAAACAATGTATCTCATATCATACCTTTGGTTTGATGAAATTATATCATAGTTATTATTTAATCTATAATCAAATTGTTTCGAACTCATATCAAATATAAATTTAAAATATTTCATTTCCTAAAAAAATAAATTGATCTATATTCTTATAAGTTTAATTAACTTAATCTAATCTTAATTAGAATAGTTACATTTGAATGATGTGTATGACTACATAATTATGCAAAACACCATCACAATAATTCACCGCCCCTATTTACTTTAGGGTAAACTATATATTTAGTTACTCATCTATTCTTGCGATTCTGTTTTGATTATTCAATTTAAAAAGAAAATTATATTTAATGTTATGTTTTGATCACTTATTATTAAAAAATAAATAGAACTGTTGAGTGATAATTTTTTTTTTTTTAATAATAATGTAATATTATTTTATGATAACACGTCAATGTAACTATTAATGTTTTAATAATGGATGACTCGATCTAGAAAAAACTTGAACTCAAAATGTCAACCCCTTTTAAAATAAAAATTATAAAATTAATTTAGTTAAGTTATGGCCTAAATTGCAAGTTTCAGAAGTTTACAGCCCGGTTTAGAATCTAGGAAGTGTAGGGACTTAACCCTAAATTAACCCATTTTTGGTCGGCATAGAAAAATAATAAAAAAGTAGATAGGTTCTTAGAGGTTTCGAACCCTTGTACCTCGGGTATAGTTGCATATGCTCTAGCCGTTTAGGCTAAGGCGTTTTAAGGGTTAAGGCCAGGTTATAACCCTTCCCCATTTCAAAAATAAAAAATCCCTAAATTTCCCCCAATCCCAAAATCTAACCCTACTACCATCTCCCTTCGTCGATTCCTCCACCATTCGTAATCGTTCAGTGCACCGCCACCCCTATCGTGACTGTCGTCTTACTCTGACCAAAACCTGAGCCTCTTCGCACTGAACAACGACATCGTTCGTCATATGAAGCTCGCCAGAGCTTTATCGTCTCCAACTCTCGTCGCTTCAATTTTTCATCTTTTTCGGCCAACCATATACGTTTGGCCACCACACTATCGCCACCATGAGACTCCCGAGCCATTGATCTACGAATATGGAAAATTTCACGTTGAACCAATGATCGGAGCTTCCGCATGTGTCGCTCCCTACGCGTGGGCGTCGTCTATCAGCCTGGGAATATGCTGACCGTCTAAACTGATTGGAGAGGTCTGGACTGAGCCACCCGGACCAAGACGAGTCAAGCCATTTGGACCAAGCCGAGTCAAGCCTCATGAACCAAGCTAGTCGAGCTGCCTGGATTGAGTCGAGCGAGCCTAGGTGAGTCATTAACCCAACTGTGGACCGTGACCCATTCGTTGGTCGTTGACCGACCGTTGAATTTTTTCAAAAACACCTATCCTAATGTTTTTCGACGTTCTGAGTTCGTTTTTTAGGTTTATTTCGCCAAATTCGAATCCAATAAGTTTTTTTTCACTGATTAACCTCCAGATTCAATCTGTTTTTCGCAATTAAGCCCATTTCTGATGAAATTTCTTCTGATATGTATATGAGATATTATTGGATTGGATTCAAGTTTGAGAGCGATCAAATATAGTTTGAATGTTCGATCGATGTAGCTCAAGAATCGAGGTAATACTTTACTACCCTATGCATGTTTTATGGTACATGTTGGTATTGCTAAGTGCATGGATGAATATGTTTCATCTCATCTGTATAGTTAATTATTTCTAAACTCGATTCAAATGAGATAAAAAGTAAGTAATTGAATAAAATTATGATGGCTCGTATAAGAAATTAAAATATTTTTAAGGAACAACTCCAAGTTCCATGATTAACCAGGGAAGTGTTTAACCTCATAACCCTTAAAATTTGATTACTCTTGTTAAAAATTGAAACACCGAAAATACTTAGATGAGAAATTACGAAATTTCCCTTGAGATATAAAAATAGCCCGGATTGACCCTGATTGAGAAAATACCCTGAGAATTCGTATCTGATCCTATAAATTATTGATTTAACTATTAAGTTTCTATTTTGTTCAAAAGATTTTTGATAAACAGTTTGTAACCTCTGAAAAGGCACTAGGCCCAAAATTTCTGATTTATGAGTATACACCAGAATACTAACTTATCGAAAGTACCTTTATTGTCAGAATTGTTTGAAATGACTGAAATAAATGACAAGTTTTAATTAAATGGAAAGACTGGACATAATAAAAGGACTGTAATACCCTTGAACTGTAACATAACCAAAAATACCCTTGAAGTATGAAATGACCTAAAATACCCCCAAGCCCTAGAATGATTGAATACACTTAAGCTCAGGAATGAATAAATCTACTTCGAATACCAGAATAATCTAAATACCCTCGTGACTTGGATTAAGCAAATGCCTTTGGATAACTTCTGAAGATATCAGTGAAGCTTTAACTGTTGTAACACCCTTGAGGTTTATAGAGTACTACCTAAGTAGGCCGATCATCCCTAATAATACTACAATATGGGAAATAAATAAATACTACTTGAATACATGTTCGT